CTTAAGGAAAATAGGAGTTCCAAGACTCAGAGGACACAGTTATAATGGGGTGACAAATGTTTTGCTTCAAGGACAGTGATAGTACTTACAAACAGAGAAAGCATTATGAGGAGACCAAAGAGTTTTCCATCTGGTACTACAGAAATATATTACAAGAAATAAAATCTTCACAACCATCCAAAATATATAAAATGAGGGAGACAGTTCTTGTTAGAGGATTCTGACATAACAGATGGAGTCATCCAGAGTAGAAATAAGTGAAAAAGATAGTTTCAACATGAATAACAGGTAATCAACCGAATAACAGAAGAACTAGAAAAAAAAAACCCCCGAGGAGTACTTGTGGCACCTTAGAGACTAACAAATTTTATTTGGGCAAAAACTTAAGTGGGCTAAAACCCACTTAATCGGATGCATGCAGTGGAAAATACAGTAGGAAGATATACACACACACACACGGAAAACATGAAAAAATGGGTGTTGCCATACCAACTGTAACAAGACTAATCAATTCAGGTGGGCTATTATTAGCAGGAGGAAAAAAAACTTTTGTAGTGATAATCAGGATGGCCCATTTCAAACAGTTGACACCATTAAACACCACTTGCAAACTGGACACCATTAAATTAGGCTTGAATAAAGACCTGGAGTGGATGGGTCATTACACAAAGTAAAAACTATTTCCCCATGCAAATTTTTCCCCTACTGTTACTCACACCTTCTTGTCAACTGCTTGAAATGGGCCATCCTGATTAACATTACAGATAAATTTGTTAGTCTCTAAGGTGCCACAAGTACTCCTCTTTTTTTTTTTCTAATACAGACTAACACGGCTACCACTCTGAAAGAAGAGCTAGAGAAACTATTAATGGAATAGATCAGAAAAAAGCTCCAGTTCAGATGGCCCGTAGGGAGGGTCCACCTAATATGATTCTTGTTCATGATGAAGGAAAGCAGAAATATGTAGTCCTATGAATAAGAACACCTTTTCACTGGTCTAAAAATCCTGTACTACATTACGGACCATTGAATTGCTGGCCAAAAATCTTCAATTAATGTTATTGCTGGCCAAAAATCTTCAGTTAGCTAATTACTGTTGTCCCCTCTCTTCCTGGGAATTCATGGACCCCATTGGTTTCCAAAAATCAGTTTCTGGGAATATTTCTCCAAGAACCAGAGAGGCGAAGAGACTGTTAAAACACTATAATCACCTATTGTCTACAACAATTAATACTCTGGCCTCTAAATGTCATCTCATTGTCCTTTCAAATCCTTTGTGGATTTTAGGTAACCAAGACAAATGACCAGATTTCATGATCACAAATCCTCCAAATTTTGCCTCTGTAAAAGGTGTACAGTTAGTGAAACAAAAAGTGTGTAATTTCTTTAATAAGGAAAAAGCTTACATTTCAGTATGAAAAGGAATCCAGTTATAAAAGTAATGTAAAGATGACACAGATGACATCAAAAGATGACATCCTTAAAATAAGGCTAGCTAAAATCAAAACAAAGTATACAGGGAAGAAAGCCACTACATACCTTAACTAGGCATACTACCTTGTAAACCTTAAATCTGTTTAAATAGGACTTCAACAGTTCATTCTCCAAAGTGAATGTCTTCCATTATTTTTCTTTGTTGTACTCTAGAATGCGTGCTTATGTGATAGAAACCGTGAAAAGTCTTATATTTGTCTAGATGAGAGAAGTGTACAAATAGCATTCTGATAATGGTCTTTGACTCTGAGACAAGGCTTCTGTACCTGAAAATGCGGCAAGATGTGTAACTGCTCTAATAAGTACAGCATGTAAAGCAGTAAAATCAACAGAAGATTCATAACTAATGAATACAGCAACACACCATAGTGCCAAGGCATATTTTAAATTAGCAAAACCACCAAATATCAGCACATTGTAATTGATTGTTTTTCAACAGTCCAAATCTGCTTTAGTCTATTTTAAAGGAAGGAAATTTAAAGTGATCCGAAGACTGGGATTTGCTATATTCAATTCTAGACCAAAAATTATGTTTAAAAAATACTGCTACACCAAGAACACTTTAAAAGTTTAATATTCCTGGGAAGATTGGAGTCTCCATGTTCCCATCATATATAGCTTTTGTATGTACCTCTGGTTGAGCACAAGATCATTAACTCTTTTAAAATAAGCAAAACAAAAACTTACTTACCATATTTTTGCATCTCCTCATACACTACTAGGAGTATCTGATCATTTAATCTACAGACTAAGATCTACTTCTTCCATTCCATCCATTGCAGCAACAAAGAATGGAATTACTGAGGATGAAGGCTATAGCTTTCAGTTTGTCATTTTTCTCTGATTTGTAGCTGGAGGGAAACCATGTTGGCTAGTGAGCAACTCTGCTCCCATCATTTCTATAAGTACATTTACATAGCTTCGTGTGAATTTCCTCTTTTTGCCATAGGAAGAAGAATCAGCCATCATCCCCAACCTCAGTAGTTAACAACGGTTACCTATTTGTTTCCAAATATATGCGTTACTGAGAAATTTGGATTAACATTTTTAATTAAGTTCAGCCTTGGGAGGATTTTTGAACAGCCACTATACAATGATTTCCTCTATGGCTCAAGCTTAGTTAACGGTTTACAGCACTTTATAGCATTGTTGAATCACCTTGTCTGCTAAAGCAGTTGTCAGAAAAATATGGGCCAGCATGGTAGAATGTATTAGACCAATACATTGTCTCCATTTTATTATGAAGCTGCTGAGGAAGCTGTGATATACAGCACTGTCATTACAGATCTATTGTTAGAGGGGTTCCACAGTGTTTTGTGCACTGCCATTAATTTATAGCAGTAAACAATATGTAGCTCTCCGACTGCAGCAAAGCAGAATCTTTTAATGAGGTGGATGTTATTACCACAATAAATCAGTGCATTCGTGTAATGTATAATTCAATGTGTGTATTCCCACTGTAACTTCTCTGAGTAAGCTGATAGTGTATCATTGTCAGTGCACAGCTCTGTGGTTCGTTGTTTTTGTTTTTGTTTTTTTTTCCCCTCCCTAAGCTTTCTGTCATTTGGGGACTTTTTTTTTTATTTGCTTGAAAATAAATGTGGCATGTCTTGATGGTTGTCCTGTTGCAGGCTTAAGAAACCAACTGTAACAATAATAGTGAGAATCAATACCGTGGATTTTAGCTGTATGGATCTCTGCATGATACCATTTTTTCAAAAGAGAATGAAATCAATCCTAATTGGTTTTAGCTTTATATTCAAGGAATGCAATTCTATAACTATTGATTTGGGGCATACTCATTTGCAGGGTAATAAAAATAGGAGCAAATTAAGTGAATACTTAAAATGCTACAGTACTATATAGATACAGCACTGATTCTATTTTTCATTCATACAGTTTTTTTACGAATGATCTTATTTCTCTTTTTTTCCCCTCCAGCATAGCTGAGTCTTTAGGGAAAATCTGTGCAGATGGAGATTCCAAAATGGTTCTGTAACAAAAAAGATAGTTCTTGGAGTCAGTTGCATTCTTCCCTGGAATACGTTTGCTAAATCAGATAACATCATTTTCTGCAAGCAATCACTCCTTTAAAAGGGTTACATTCAAATTAGTGAACTGCAAAAATAGTAATCAACCTAAGATGTTTTCTTTATCCAATTGCAAAGTGAAAACTGCTTTAAGTAAGATTAGATCTTAAATCCTTGTTTGATCTGTTATCTAGAAGAAAAACTACTTGCAGTTGATATAGTACATCAGATGCCATCTGCAAGTAAAAATATACTTTTATAGTAGTAATCAGATAATCCAAATATTTCCAAAATTATAAATACGGCAATGGAGATCATTTTTTTACTTAGATTTTAAATTATTTTTTACATCTAACCAAAGGAAACCTCTGTTTTCACTGACTCAGTGCTGTATTATTGATTCTTACTTTTGCTTAGAAGCTTTACCTTGAATGTTTGTCTCATCTTGTATGTATTGTTAACTATATCTGTTAATTTTATTTTAGTAAGATGATAAATGTGAAAATATCTTTTCTGCAAGGGTATTCTTCAGTTATAACCAGGCACTTCCATAATCTGTTTACATGTGCATCATTTAATTTAATGGTATAAGAAAACAGTATTCTATATCAGTCTCTGTACATATAGTAGAAATGTATCAAATATTGCCCATATGTACCAAAATATTTCAGACCTCTTAAAGTATTATACATATAAAACAATTAAAAGACCACCGAATCCTGATATAGGAATAATCCCATTGAAGAAACACATAGCATGTATACCAAAACTTTGTATTTTGCATTAATTAAATCCCATTTTAGCAATGTTTATAAAAATGTGGTAAGTCTTTTTGGTAATTTTGCATATTTAATTAACTTAGTTTGATTTTTGATATCAATACTTTCTGATATAATTTGTCTTTCTCATTTTCCTGCATTATGTGCAGACAAATCTTATTCTTTAGGTATAATTTCTCGTGGGATGAGTTACCATTTAAAAAAACAAAACAAACAGCACCAACAACAAGAAAACAAACAAAAAATCAAACACTAGTTCTAATATCAACATTCCACCTACACTTGACATTCCCTCTCACTCTTGGTCAGCCTGACACCTTTCCTAAAACATCAAGGTCCAAAGCCATGTTTCTAACTGTTGTTCACAACTCATTCAATAGTCTACAAAACATCACTAGGATCCACTTTGTGTAATACTGTCTGCTGTGAAATGCTTGATAGTGATGATCAGTGTTCAACCGAAATTAGACTATACTGATGGAACGTAACAGCTTCTTCCATCACCTGTGTGTATGTTATCCAAGTTTGAGATCCACATTTCTCTTCACTCACATATCAACTCTGTCTGCTTTTGCAAAAAACAAACAAGAAAAAAAAATCCTAGACAACATATTTGCATGCATGCTAATAATTCTGTTTGGAAAGACACGGAAAACTGGTTATGATTATGATGTGGTGATTGTCTCCTTTGTTTTAGCCAATTGGTGCTCTAAATCCAAAGAGAGCAGCATTCTTCGCAGAGCGATATGAATCATGGGAAGATGATCAGGTTCCAAAGTTTCACTATGGCACTCATTACTCAACTGCAAGTTTTGCGCTCACTTGGTTGTTGAGAATTGTAAGTACAGTCCTTAAAAATATATTTTCTTTTAAATAATAATGAAAGCGACAAATAATCAGAAACCATGAGTAAATTAAAACCCAACAGAATATAAGGCAATTGAGATTTTGAAGTAATTGATTGTCAGCAACTTGTTTCAATTTCCAAGGATAAAATCTGTTGCAAACTCTGAACATCATGTTTTAATTTTTATGGGGTAGCCTTCTCAAATCAGTATAAAAGCTCTTTTTCCTTTAAAATATGCTTTTCAAGTAGACCTCATTGTATTACATTAAATAGGGTGAACTTCTCTTCCTCACATGATTTTTTTCATTGGGGCGTACTCTGAAAAATTTAAAATTCTTACGAACATATTTAATTTTCATCCCTAAAAGTTAAAATCAGATATCTTAAGATGCTCATAAGATTTTACATTGTCATATTTGTTTTAAATGATGCTGCAGTATATATGCACGTAACATTGTGGATGCAACGTATTGACAATATATTGGTTAAACAGTGCATGTTTCTGTAAAATTGAACGGTGATTTATCTTCTAGAAAGTAATTTCTTTGGGAAAGCATTAGCAGCACATCATTAATTAAAGCTTGTTAGAATGGTACAAGCATACATAAATCCTTGAAGTAATTTATAGTGCTTAGCTAATTTCAAGCAATTACCCACTAATATGTGCTTAAGTGTTCTTTAACTAAGAGGAGGCTTTTAAATCTTTCAAACATTTTTCTTTTCTAAATCATAAATTACAGATTTAGCCATAACAATGGTAAAGTTACATTAAGTATTAAATATTTGATTGCATTAATAGATAAACTTGAACAAACAAAAGAAAAAAATCTTAGCTGATTAAGCCATGCAATTATTTTTGGAAACACTTTATTTAAAAATAAACCAACCAACCCACACAAACCCTTGGATAATAAAAATATTCAGCTTTTTCTTCTTAATGTGTTTAAAAGCCATTCATGTCACGACTGATCTATAAATATTTCCCTTCCATTTTTTACAAGCTTTTATTTGTCTTAATTTACATTGAGCACAGCAGAGTAGAAATAAGGGTTACTCACACACAAAAACAGCCATGTCTGAATTATTCATCAGGTGGGTAGCAGAAATAACCTGTCCCAATTAACCACTTATGCACCAGGAAATGAAGTAAGAGTAACCGTAAACTTTAGACATTGCAATTGCCATTTTTATCACATTTCTTTCAAAAAGTATCACTTCATTTTTTTTTCTTTCATAGGAGCCCTTTACAACATTTTTCTTACATGTACAAGGCGGGAAGTTTGACCATGCAGATAGAACTTTTTCATCAATTTCAAGAGCATGGCGCAACAGCCAGCGTGACACTTCTGATATCAAGGTAAAATACTGTTTTTGGCTTTTGTGAAAGCTGTTAACACATATTGCACTGTATTATATAAGTGCTGACTTGATGAAGAGCTCTGTTTAGCCTAAATTACCTCACCCACCTTGTCTTTCTGATCTCCTGGTACCACCACAGCTACAACCCTGCAAACTTTTTTTTTTTTTTTTTTTGTAGGCAAGGCTGGTAGTACCGCTTACTAAAGTTGCCTGACGCTTCCCATTATTAGTCTTTGTTTTCTGTTCCTTATAACTTTGCCAAACTTTTATCCTTTGGGCTGAAATTTTCCATGCTGGGTGTCTCCCTCTGGTTGAATTTTTTTGAAAAATTGCGGTCAAAATAATTGAGCCATTTCAAAGAACAGGGCAAGGACAAAAATGTTGTTTTGCCCATGTTAAAAAAAATTTGGTGACCTTTTCTTTGAAATGTTTTAATGCCCCTTTCCTTTGGAACAGGGACTTTATGTCAGGGACCTTTTGCCATCCCCAGGAAAATCCACCAAATTTGGCCTAATTATAAGCCTCTGAAAAATCACCTTTCACATCTTAGATTTTATCATTTAAATTCCCCAAAGATTGTGTCTGCACTGAGCATGCTCCAGCCTGGGGCTCAGAACCACATTCCCTGTAACTGCAACTCTGGGCTTCTGTGGGTTCAGCTAGGTCCAGATGCCTGAACTGAGAGTAGAATGACTCTCCCTTTTGCAGTCAGTGACACACTTTCCACCCTCCCTCGGACCGGACAAAAAGGAGGAGAGTGCTGCCTGATTCAAATGCAGAGGATACAAGATCTGGACCTGGGGAGGGGAGGGGAGGGGAAGGGCAGGGGTGAGGTGGGATGGGGGCACAGATTGGGACACGGTGCCTGGTGGTATTAGTTGTAGTAATAGTGAAGTCTCTACTTTCTGGGTGGAGGAGTAGAGTGTACTGTTAGGTGGTTTCACTGTTCACTTTCTTGCATAGGTAACTTTGTGCGAGATATGTTTATATATGTAACAAACCTAACTGATTCACGGTGAAACTCTTTTTATGTATTAATTTCTTGGTTTGTTTTACTAAATGGTTAAGTGGAGATGGGGCAGGGTGACTGAGCATGGATCTGTGTGGGATTAGAAATGCAACCAGTTGGAGATTTTGTGTGAGCTGCTGTGTATGAATCCGTTGCCATTGTAAGATACAATCTGTCAGAAAAGTGTAGCTCCTGACACTTCGTGTTGTGGAAAAGTTTTTTTGCCCAGTCATTCAGGTTTAGGTGCACAATCCATATGTTTTCAATAATAATATGAATAACAGTTAGAACTGATCCCACATCCAATTTTTTAAACTACCTGCTACACCAGTACTACTACTGATTCACACCTCTACTAATTTTTGTGTAGATAATGTTTTTAAAATAAATCTTTCAGCATTGAAAAGTAGGACCGACATGGAAATATTTCAGCCAGATCCCAAATTCAAAGACTTCCTATTAAAAATGTATGAAGAGAAAGCAAACAAAAACTACACAGAAAATTCAAAGGGCATAAAACTATCACATGTGAAATTTCACATCAATTGCCCATCTGCTTTTAGAGAAAAGCAGGAATTCATGCCCAGTTTTAAGCTGAGTTTAGAATACAGTTCTTACTATTAAGTTGTTCCCAGGCACTTCCATAATTCTCAAAGTTTTCTGAGAGGAGGGTGTCCAACTAATGAGAAGTAGGATATTTTGAATTTGATATACCTCATCAGTGGGGCCGTACCAAATTCATGGCCCATTTTGGTCAATTTCACGGTCATAGGATTTTAAAAATAATAAATTTCATGATCTCAGCTATTTAAATCTGAAATTTCAATGTGTTGTAATTGTAGGCATCTTGACCCGAAAGGAGTTGTGTGTGTGTGTGTGTGTGTGTGTATGTGGGGGAGGGGGAGTCGCAAGGTTATTGTAGGGGGTTTGCGGTTCTGCTACGGTTACTTATGTGCTGCTCCTGACACTGGCGGCACTGCCTCCAGAGCTGGTCAACTGGAGAGCAGCAGCTGTTGGCCAGGACCCCAGCTCTGAAGGCAGAACTGCCACCAGCAGCAGCACAGAAGTAAGGATGGCCTGGTATGGTATTGTCACCCTTACTTCTGCGCTGCTGCCTGCAGAGCTGGGCCCTCCGTCAGCAACCACCACTCTCCAGTCGCCAGTTCTGAAAGCAGCAGTGCAGAAGTAAGGATGGCATTGTATGGTATTGCCACTCTTACTTCTGCACTACTTCTGGCAGGGCACTGACTTCAGAGCTGTGCGCTTGGCCAACAGTCTCCACTCTCTGGCCACCCAGCTTGAATGTAGTGCAGAAGTAAGGGTGGCAATACTGTGATCCCCCTAAAATAACCTTGCAACCCCCCTGCAACTCCTTTTGGGTCAGAACCCCCAATTTGAGAAACGCTGGTCTCCCCCATGAAATCTGTATAGTTTTAGGGTAAAAGCACAGAAAAGACCAGTTTTCACAGTGGGAGACCAGGTTTCATAGTCCATGAGGTGTTTTTCGTGGCCATGAATTTGGTAGGGCCCTATTCATCAGCTTTGACTATCTCTGAAAATGTGTTTATTATCATTAACTTTGTGTAGAAAAAAGGTTGAGAGGTATCTGATTTAAGAACAAAGGGAACTGAAGTCATCTCTCCCCAGAAACGGTAGGGATTTCCTCACATTGTCCAATCAAGTTCCATCCCCACCTTCTTTTGGAGGGATCAGCCCTTGCAGCATCAAAGGATAAAGTACCTAAAGGTGTATATTCAGTCCTTGGCTTTACAGTTCATAGAAATGCAGAAGTTAGAAAAGAAAAAGACTCCTACACAATCTGTCCCAGATCCAGTTTTTGAGAAAGTCGTGGCAAGCCAGTTTTAGCAGCTGAACACCACCAGTATTCTTGGCCTACCCAAATCAGACTTATATGATGTGGAAATCATGCTGCTCATTAAAGTAAACTGTCTCATCCAGACAATGGACAAATATCCATTCTAATACCGTTAAATCTATAAAAAGCCTTAGATCTATGTCACAGTATACTACTGGCCCATTGGTGTGTGGGATTGAGCTTGCTCTGTTTCGATTTTGGCTAGATTTCCATAGAGTTGTGATGGCATCTGTTCTTCTACAGAAATGTTCACACTTGCAGTCCTATGAGAGCAGAACTTATTCCTCTAGTTTTTAGTATCTGTATTAGACCTCTTGGGAAAATCATGAATTTAAATACCATCCATATGTCATGAGACCCAGTTCTTATTTTATTCTCTGAAGCAGATAACACTTTCACCACAACGCTCAATGAATCTGTGTATGAAAAGTAGCTGACCCAATCTTTTATCCAAGAAAGGCAGAGATTATGCTGATAGCAAGAGGGAAGTACTTTGAAGAAGTGGCAGAAACAATGATGGCTTCTCTAGCAAGGGTATCTGGCTTCTCATTTTCAAGATCTTTGTGCAGTCTGAATTCTGCTAAACTCACTGGTGTGCCCATACCAGAGATGAGAAATGCTTTTTTTACATCTTTCATTAGCTAGGAGACTGCTGTTCTTCCTCTTGGATGTAGACATGGTCAGTTTTCCTAGTCTTTGTCATCTCTGTACTGGACTACTTCAATTCTTTGTTCATGATGCTGAATGAAGAGGCCACACAAAAGCTCAGACTAGTCCAGCTTGCTGTAGCTCCTTCCTGAGTTGGACAAGTCAAGAAGAGCTCGTCACATTGGTACACTGTACTCTATATGTGCTTCCCAACCAACATCAAATGCATATCAGGATCCTGGGCCTTGCTTTCAGTAACCTCTGACTTCCTCCCATTAGACACTATCTTTCCTTTCGCAATCCACCGAGAATGCTTAAGTCATTTGCGGACATTCTATCCGACAGAGCCCAGGGATAAGCTTTCATTTGTCAGGACAGGACATTTTCTCAGCTGAAGATGAGGATTTAAGTTCCAGCGATGGAAATCCTTTACAAAGAGATGTATTCTTTATAGGGAAGAATGTAAAGTGTGTCTGTTTCTTCCTTAATCTCTCCCTAGACTTCCCCAACACATAAACACATCTAGAATGACCCTTAAAAACATGACCGTTCCATCCAAGGAGGAACAGTGAAGATGTTCCATACTGTGACTGCCTCTCTGAGTCTCTTAAATCCTGTATTCAGCATTCAGTGTGATGGTGCTCAAGATATATTCATATTTATCCAGGCAATTTGGTTACCAATGCAGGCAAATTTCCTGAAGTACATGTTGTGGTATAGTGTCCAGTTTAATTTCAAATGTCTCAAGTGGTGGTCTTTCACCACATTCTATGGGACACTATTTCATGTCTTCTGTAGCTCAGTCTGGAAGCTTTTTCTTCTAGGCTGCATGTTCCATTTTTAATATTACCTATTTATATCTCTTTGTACCACAGTAAATATATCTTATTTATATTTGAGGCAGTGTTGTCCAGTGGACAGAGCACTGAAGTGGAATGCAGAAAACCTGAGTTCTCTCCCCATGCTCTGTCACTGACCTACTGCATGACCTTGAGAAGTCACTTGGCTTCTCTGCTTCCCCATCTACTCTTTGTCTTATCTGTTCGGATTGTAAACTCTTTGAGGCAAGGACTGTCTCTTGTAGCCTTCTCTATTGATTATGTTTTAGTTAACTTGATTACTTAAAAATTCCCAATTAACACTCTGAGATTTGGTAGGGTCTAGTCCTAAAATCAGCCCCAGTGTTAGTAGAATTACTATTAAGTTGGGAACCCCAGTGTGCACAGTGGCAACACTCACACTTAGGAAAAAGCTTCTGACTTTGCAATAGTTCTGTTAACGCAATTATTAAACACCCAAACACTCCAACTCAAACAAGTTGGCAGCAATAATATAATACAGTTTTAACATTCAGCGTCATAACAAGAGTATATGCACACCATCCTTGTGGAGAGCCAGAGATGGTGAGACAAGTGGTGGTCCATGAAGATTCTGTCCTATCTCTGGCATTCCAAAAGATCTCTAC